CTATGTCGTCAGAGACATCAAGACTTCTAGTAAGGGTTCGTTTATTTATTTAGGACAGATGATGAATATAATAATTTTGGATCTTAAAAGAAAGAATATCGGTATAAAAGTGCTTTATTTATTTGAACTTAATAAAATTTGGGTGGAATTAGAATTCTGTGAAGTGTTACGCTAATGCTATTTAATAAAATGTCAATATTTTCTTTGGGTGACCCAATTCTTTTACAGGGGTCTGTCTAGGTTTTTCTGAGAGGTGAATTATTTGTAAAAAATCATAATTCATTTTATTTTTATTATTATTTCATTTTATTACTATATTATTTTCAAAATAATGAACTTTGTTAAGTTGCCAATGAATGTACAAAAACATAATTTTGAAACAAAAACAGCAACACGAGATAGATTTTACTTTATTTATTAAAAAAAAACGTGTTTGTTTCCTTTATGTCTCAAAAGCTCAAATATTAAAAATAGAAAAAAACAAAACATAATTGTTGCCTTTAAGCAATTGAAATTTAGAAGGTAATTGTTGCACCCTTTTTTAACCCATTGACACAGATTAGACACCAGTGTCTCTTTTATTTTCTTTTTTCTGACACTTTAATTACATTCAAAAATATATTTTGGTTCTTTTTAATTACAAAAAACAATCTAATAGTTATTTAAAAAATCTGTTAGAAATCGGAATTATATATGAACTAAAAAAAATAATAAAAAAAAAATTCATTTATATTCAAAATGTTATCAATAATTGATTTTTTAAATTAAAAAGAAACTTCAATAGTTTCTCTTAAATAAGAGAAAAATTCAAAAATTATTGTTTGGCAGTGAGTCATGTTTGTAAGATTTTACCTTAAACGCAGAAAAATACACCGGTGTTTCATGACCATGAATTATTAAAGTGCTAAATATAATATTTTTACTTATTTTGTCCTAAATTAATACAAAACACCGAAAAAAGTACGAAAAATATGATTAATAAAAGATTCTGCGTCAAAATAATAAATATTTAGATAAGATTGTTTGGATTCGGATAAGCCTCATTGATGGCATTCACAACTTTTAATTTTTCAAAAATATTGAAATTTGACTTTTTTTTGTATTTATATTTAAAATAGAGTATGGTATAGCATTTGAAAAACACTTGTTAGCAAAAATCGTTAATGCTGTATTTCATGACCATGAATTATTAAAGTCCTAAACATAATATTTTTACTTATTTTGTCCTAAATTAATACAAAACAATGAAAAAAGTACGAAAAATATGATTAATAAAATATTCTGCGTCAAAATAATAAATATTTAGATAAGATTGTTTGGATTCGGATATGCCTCATTGGTGGCATTCACAACTTTTAATTTTTTATAAATATTGAAATTTGACTTTTTTTTTTATTTATATTTAAAATAGAGTATGGTATAGTATTTGAAAAACGCTTGTTAGCAAAAATCGTAAACATTCATGGTTGATTTGCTTAGATTAATTGACATTTTTTACCCAAGGACACAAAACATGTAAGAATGATCAATCATTAAAGAATTTAAAATTTTCTGATAAAGCATTCATTTTAAAATTAGCCACCAAGAATAATTCACGAATTACATTCCAGCCTTGAACATTGAAAAGATCCCTATTTTCGTTTTCCATGTTGTGATTTTAAGTGGAACTAATTTTCAGCTATTTGAGGGCGGACATTATAATAGCAGCAATAAATTACATCACTTAAAATTTTTTTCAAAAAGAGCCAACTTGATAAATTATCCGTAATTTAAAAGATTTGAAATTAAGGAGCGCTTTATGTAAATGAAGATATTTAATTTGTTATGATGGTTTTCCCACCTGGATTTCAATTTAACATAAACCACAACAAACCTTGAACTTGCCAGAAATTATTTAGGTTATTCAATTGGAACTGCGCAATTTACCTATCACATAAATCAGACAAGTTGAGGCATTATGGAAATTTTATTACTTTGCCTACAAATTAAATAACTGATGAACAATATACTTTAGACAGGAACTTCACAGCCAGAAATTATAAGATTACTACAATCAAGCAGACTTTACATGGAGAAAAAAGAATTCTAGTAAAATTAGCATACTGTATGTAATAATATTTCAGGTAAAAAATATTTAAATAAATAACAAAAAACATAATTCTGTTTGATAATAGGGATGTAATGAATATCTGGCCACTATTTACTTGGGTCAAACATTCGTTCGAATGTTGGGCACATATTCGGCTGAATGTCCGGCAAAGTATTATTTGGAAAGGTATTTTTTTAAAGTTTTTTTAGGTTGGGGGGATTTGAATAGAATTTATAAAGAATAATATAAAATCGTATTTTTTACTACACATTATCAGAAATTGTTTCTACATATATTTAAGCTCTAAAACTTGTTAATTTATGTTTTGAAAGACAAACGGGAAAGAGAAATTTGAAGAATTGAAACTAGATTACTTTATACTGAGCCATGAGTTTTGTAAAGCTGATTTTTTAAAATTATATTCAAGAAGTCAAACACTTTATGTTTTGAAAATTGAGAACTTTTTTTTCTCATTTGTTTCATTTTTGCCTGTTTTCCGTTATTATAATTTTTTTTTTCCAGTGCGGTATGACAGACAATCAGTAACATAGAAAACTGTGATTCGAAAGGTTTAAATTATATTTCAGAACTGAGGGAGAAAAAAAATTTCGATTTCGCTTTTACGATTTTTATTAACTTTTCTTTTTATCAGCTTTTTTAGTATGACAGCATTTTTTAAAGAGGATTTCTTCAAATGAACGTTATTCGTTTATGGTCACTTTTTCCTAAAATTTCGGCTATGTTAAATTAAATTTTAGCGTTAAATATTTTGTTGAAAAATTAAGAACGATTATTTTTTTTTGTTTCCATTTAGCTATTTCTATCTATCTTAGATTATTAAAAACTTTTTTTTTTTTAAATAAAGAATCTTTGAAAATTTTAGAGCGATTCATTTCAAAAATAAAAAATGAAGGATTCGTTTCTAATATTTTTTTTTGGGGGGGGAGGCAATTCTAACATTACGTAAGCACCTAACTGGGGGTAGGGTGTTTGTAGAGTGCTTACTTTTGCTGACAAAGGAAAGGGGAGGTGGTGTGAGCAATGTTGACGTAAGACACTAAAATGCCCTTATTTTAAAAATGTTGTCAAAAAAACAAAATTACTAAAACTTACACATAAAAATTTTTAACTGTGGAATAAAATTTAAAATCAGGTAAAGAAAAAAACTGGAAAAAATTTCTTCAAAGAGTTTCATTCATTTTTTTAAATACAAAAGATTCGAATAAATTATTCTATTCAAAGTTTTATAACATGAATTAAAACTTAAATTTTGTTTATCGCAAAGTTGCATCTTTTTATTTCAATTTAATCCCGAAACGAGATAATAACAGTAAAAATCAAAGTTAAGCCAAACACAAAGAAGGTGACACTTTCTTACATCAATGAAAGAATTCGTGCTTGACTTATTCTAGTTGACAACACGGAAGGAGGATCCCAAAATTGCCACACACAAAAAAAAATGCTTACACAATATTTTGAGTGCCCCTTTAAGGATCAGTTTCTGTGATAATATAATTTATGAAAGGCCCGTTACGAGACCCAAACCTCTCCTAAAATGACCCCTACTCTAATCGAAGGGTTTTCCCCGAGAGCACCCCAATAAGATAACATTAAATTCTTAAAATATCTTCCCCATTAATTAAATAAGAAAATTCTGACTATTTCCACATCCAAAATGAAGGAAGCAAAAGGATCGGAAGTGTTCGTGTTCCACTCATAAAAACTGGTTTCATGGATGGATGATCTGAACGATAACGGATGAGTTGGATATAGGTTAAGGAGGAAGTTAACTTTCTCCAGAAAAGACCAAAAGATGCACTAAATATAGGTAACATGGCATTCGGTGAGATTACAAAGCAATTATTATTGTCATTTTGTTTGCAAGTTCTTGCTCTCGTGCTATAAAAAATATATATTTACTAGCCGATCTAAAAATAATAGTTTCCGTCTATTAGGAAATATGGCCGCAAATGAAAAATAAGGTGGGTTTTATTTAATCATCAATCCAAACCTGTATTTTAGACGGAGAAAAAAAAAATCTGGTAAAATTACTGTTTTTACCGTATAGTATAATAATTACATTTTTGATTTAAAAAAAAAAAAAAAATATTTTTATAAAATCAAAATGTGCGGTATTTAAACCATTCATTTTGGAAATTTTTCCGTTCGCATGATAAAGGTTAACCAGAAATTCTGATCTCCAAAATTTTAGTATCATGATAAAAATTACCAAATATTACCCCATTTACCAAATTTTATCACAATTATAAATCCATATTTTAGTGTTAATTTTACGACAATCATTATTAAAGCGCTTCAATAAAAATAAACGATCTCTTTGGTGTTTCCATAGAGCCAAAAACACGTTAAATTTTACCATTTTCAGGTAGTTTTGACCCTCTCTTTTTCATCAGTGAAAATGAAAACTATTAGTAAGTAATTATCCTAATTTAAAATTTAGTTTGATGCAATTTTTAAACTTCCTTTAAAAAAAAATGAAAAAAGAAAGAAAAAATTCATCAGTTTGATAAATATAGACCAAGTGACTTTCTTAGTGTTCTTCCACTGTCTCTTTTACTTACATCTTTTCCGGAAAAATTCCGGGAGCGTTAAATTTTACCATTTTCTAGTAGTTTTGACCCTATCTTTCTTCTCAGTGAAAATGGAAACTATTAGTAAGCAATTATCTTATTTAAAAATTTAGCTTTATACAATTTTTACATTCTTAAAAATCATTTGGAAAAAAAATGAAAAAAGGAAGAAAGAAATCATCAATTTGATAAATATAGAACAAGTGACTTTCTTAGCGTTCTTCCACTGTTCCTTTTACAACTTTTCCGGAAAAAATTCCAGGAGTGTTAAAGTACTATTAGAGTAAAATAAATGCTTTTTCATGCAATAAATAACTCACTTGTTTGCCCTGTTCCTCTTTTAGGTACATCTTGAAAATTCTCAGAATTTTCACTAATGATTCTCTGGGTGAACTGTACCTGTCTACGACTTCGAGTACTTCTTCCTGGCAGTCTCGGTAATTAGCACATCCAGGAGAAAGAGAGACGCACATTGATTCGAAGTACAAAATTTGGTGCGTGAAAAATATTGCAAGATCTTCAGCATTTTGTTTCGAAATGGATTTTGATAAAGGATCAAGTTTCAACACACGAATTACGTCATCTGGATTCAGGCACTGAAAAAAAATAAGAAAAATTAGTGAACTAGTTAATTTCACATTTTAAAATTATTCAAATTGTATTTATTAAAAAAAAGACGAAAAAAAAACACTAATTTAAAGATAAAGAAATAAAATGGGAAATCGGTGAATCAGTAAATCGGCATTGGTTTGGTTTAAAGGTTTTAAAGTTTTATCTTTTGTTCCTTTTAAAGTTTTATTGAAAAGTAAATTTATTTTATAACCGTCGTTGAACAGCCAACCCAATTTTTGGGTTTACGACTACTAATGCTCAACTCCTTAATCTTGTAATTTTGAACTCAGTCCAGAAGACAAGGAAACTCCTGGATCAAGTATTGGGAAAATTAGCCTTCGTGGAGGACTTTTTGATGGAACTAACCCGCATTTGTGTTACATGGAAAGGAAGAACACGAGGACCTCCCACGGTTAGCCTGACGGCAAAGGGACTCTAACCCATGATTCATTTCACGTCAGTACTGCGGTCGGTGCAAGACGGATGCGGAATTCGCATCGACCAGCCATCGCCGGGATCGAACCCGGTTCACCTCATTGGAAGGCGAACGCTCTATTCCATGAGTCATCGTGGCTCATTGTAAAGTAATTGGCAAATGACCACAGTGGTCCAAGAACCATTGCTCAAAATTTTTTCGACATTCGCTCATAATTTTTTTCCAAAATATTTCATTTTAATGACATTTACCATTACAGAGAATGCTGATAGAGATTATTTGCTATCCAAAAATATGTATTTTTATCAGCAAATAAAATTTAAAATTAAAAAAAGATACTGAATTATCGACTTTGGTAGAATTGTTTGTAAGAAGCATAATTTCATTTGTTTCCCCTTTAAGATTTTATTTTACTTCTAAGGTTTCATTATGAACTTATTGTCATAATTGTGTCACGAACTCAAAGTATTGGTTGCGCGAACCTTACGTGGTACACGAACCATAGTTAAAGAACCTTTGCTCAAAATTCTTTCAACTTTCGCTCACAATTTATGTACTATGTTTCATTTTAATGACATTTATCATTACAGAAAATACTGGCAGATAATAAAAAAAATAATATATTTTTTAAGATTTTATTTTTCTAATAAAATAAAACAAGTTAAAATAAATATCGAGCTATATATTATTTCACGCCAAGAGCATTCGAAACTAAGAAGCAAATTAAATTTCAACCCCTTTCTTATTTAAAAAAAGAATAATGGGTATATTAACGTGGAGTTTTCCTACGCTTTATTCATAGGAAATAACATCTTAAACAATACTTTAATTTTTGAAAATAAAAAAAACTACAATTATCTATAATCGAAACCTTTAAGTACTGATAACGCTATAGTTCCATAAACCAGGAAGTTCACAAGGTCACAATACTATAAACATTATCTCAGCCGCGCCCACAATATCCGAATTGTCCTCTAATCAATTACATTGTTGAACAAGTCTATAAAAAGATATAGGAAGTAGGGAACGATGTACGGGGGAGTCGCAATACAGTGATGTAGGATGTAAAATAAAAATAAGTTCGATAAAAACATGATCAATTTTTAACAATTGATTTTTAAATACAATCTTAGCTAAGAAAAAAGGACGGCACTTAAAAAGGTGAGCTCGCGGTATTTTTAGTTCCTCTGACACGAGGGCTTTGAACTGCCCCATTAGAAAGGTATAGGCGCGTACCTTTCGTGTTAACTAGTTTTTGTTGCAAATGGGAATCCCTTTTCAAATCGATATTCGTTGGCTGGCCTGATCGATTTATATTTCTATTAACTGTTTTGGCGCATTTGACTGCTGGGATATTGATCAACTCCGATGAAAAGGTATAATATCTAGATTAAAACTAAAACAGGCTTATACAGATATCACACCAATGTTAATAATAGCTTGTATTGTTTTATGTTTTGAAAATTTGCTTTCATCGCACAGTCGAAGACTGTTATTACGAACCTTTATACAATGAGATCCCATGATTTAAGAGAATATTCTTAATAAATGGTTCGTATTTCAAAAAATAAATAAATAAATAAAACTTAGATAAAACTATCTTTTGGTACAGAGACCACAAATCTAAGTTAATGATAAACTTTACATACTCTTTTGAAAATTTATTTTGATAGTGTTCAAGAAAAAAAATGTATTTGTTCCAGCACGGAGCAAAAAACCCTGGTAAAATTACTGTACTATATGGTAATAACATTTCGGAGTAAAAAAAATCATAACGTTAGTAATAATACCAAGATATATGGTATTTAAACCATTCAGTTCGTGGTTTAGTATAAATAATACTTATTTATTTCTGGCCGGAGAAAAAAAATTCTAGTAAAATGATTTTTATGCCATGATCTCAAGTATCATAAACAAATTACCATCTTCTACAACATTTACCAAATATTGCCACGCATTATAAAACTATATTTTACTGCTATTTTTACTAAAATCATTATCAAAGCACTTTTTAAAAAATTAACAAGCTTTGCTATATTCCCATTGAGCCAGAAACACAGTAAATTTTACCGTATTATTTTTCTCAGTTTGAAAATCTGGTATCTTCGAAAGCGTTTAAAAGTTCATTATTTCAGAATATTCCAACAATATGTGCACAAAATCAATGAAGACTTAAAATGTAGGTAATCATTGTTTAGGTACGTGCATTTTCTTTAGCATTTCTCATTTGGTATTCGTGAATAGATTTATGCAAAATAGTATCTAGCTCTTGTTACTTTGATTACTCATGTGTTTGCTCACATTTTGGATTGTAAACGTTTCTGAATGACAAGTCCGATCTGCTCATTATTTTATGTTTGCACGCATATGATTATTACGCAAAAAAAATTTTTTATTCAATATTTAGCGATAAAGAAGACGTTGACAAAGCTTTCATAAATAGGTTTCGTATCCAAAAAAGTATTGTGATGCGAACAATTTCCGAATTAAATTAAATGATAAACTAAGTACCTTTCTTGTTGATTAAAAAAAATGGTGGATAGACTTAATTTAAACATTTTCTTGCGCAAATTTTTTTACATTAGTTTTTTTCTTCTCATTTTTCTTTTATTTTTTTTTTAATCATTTCATCTAAATCATCATGATAATTTCAGCCGATTTGGGTTTAACATTCATCCCGATTTTACGAAGGAAATAAACTCCTATGTATCTGATGCTTAACCATTGTCATTTATTACCTTCGATTTAAGAAGTTAAGAAAAACTAGGGGGAAAAAACGTTAGTTTTTTAAATGAAAATCAAACATCTAAATAAAAACAATTAATTTACAAAATATCTAAATTAAATTACTAAAAACTTAAAATTAAAATATTTAACATGAAATATTAACAAGACTAATATTATTTTGTTACGATGACACGATAAAAAAAATAACACGATAAAAAAATATAATACACTGTAAAAAAATTTGAAAAAGGAGCNTTACTCATAATTTGTGAATATAAAATAAACATTAAGTCACTTTCTTTCAACCAGGGTCCGCTTTTGCGAATTTGGGCAAATAGGGTCCGTTATTGCAAAAAAAACTTTTTCAAGGAGTTATTAAATAGTAAAGACATACAAGATTATGCTCAACACTGTAAATATATAATTAAAAAAATTTAATTTTAAAAAATAAACAGCTATTGCAGCTACTAAATTAGCGATGCAACATATAAATATTTGGTATTTAGCCTATACTGCTTAACGCAGAATATTCATTTCGGACGAATAAAGGAAGAAGCGTCTGCGAAGACAAAGTTCGTTTACATCTCTCTTTCTCCCCCCCCCCTCCTGGGAAGGGTTTATTGATTAACAAAACAATAATGAAGATTAACAAATTTTTGAAGGGTCCGATTAAAGGATAAATTAATTTGTGAAGGGTCCATTTTTAAGTTAAAATATTTTGTAAAGGGCCCGTTTTTATGAAAAGGTATTTTGTGAAGGGTCCGTTAATGAATCCAAATTTCTTCTAAATAGACCCCTGATTATGTATCTGAATTCAACAACAACATTTAAAAAAAATATTTCACCTCTGATATACTGTTAACTAGACACAACTAAGAACCTGCATGATGAAATCTACAGAAATAAACACTTTCATCTTAAGTGAAATTAACAATGCCTTTACTTAGACAAGTATATGTTCTTTTAATCAGCTTAACCCAGTGACTTAAACTTAACGTTTTATGGTAAAATGGAAGGTTTTATTGAGCAGCAGAAGATTTATTAAAACCAATTACACATCCTCATGGTCATCAAAGTATTCAAAATGTTCGTCAGACCATTTCGCCATTTTGAAAAACAGCCCGTACCGGTTCGTTCATCACTTTGCCGTACTTTTTACGTTCTTTTTATTGCCAAATTCGATTTCTATGCTTTATATGATGATTTTGTGTAATTTAACGGATCGCAAGATCTAAAGGAGAAATTGAAAAAGACAAAACATACACATTAACTACGCCATCAAAAATTACCGAAGCGATTTCGAAATCTTCTTATAATTTAATCGAGAATTTTTATTGTTATTTTTTTTTATTTAAATATGTGGAGATAAAAGCAATAAAAATATTCTAACTGAACGATAAAAAAAAGTAGGATACCCAAGTAGGATTAGAAATGTTAAAGAAAAACAATTGTTTATGAAATACAAAGGTTTCGATCGAGGTTTTATAAACAAAGAAATTTTTCACCTGATTACAAAAATACTTCAAAGAAATATGTGGCGAATCGAGATAGCTTTCCTATACACAGGTCTAAACTTTGTTGAAATATTTTCTCTGAAAACCTATTGTTCAAGTAAAAGTATTTCCACATTGCACTGATAAATCATTTTTGTAGCAAGAACTAAAGGCATATCAATATAAAGAACGGTTTTTCTCTGATAAACATTAAAAAATTTAAATTGCTAATTTTAGTTTAGCCTACTTCGAAATGTTTTTCGAAGACTTTATGAAACTACGATTTTTTTTTTCATTACATTGGTCTTTTTTTATTGTTTAATTTAAC